CTGACTTTGTTGATTTCTGGAATGTCAACTCTGATAGACATGTGTCGTCTCCTTACTAGTCCTGCTTTGGTTAAGCAACAGAAACAARTCATTTCACCTCTGATCATAAAAAACTCCCCATCGTGGGGACACAAAAACCCATGGCTGCCTTCCCCACAGCACAGCCCTGGGCCTGGAGGCGCTCACCCATCCTCCCCAGCAGAATGCAATGTGAGCACAGTAGGAATCCGACAGGCGACCTTCCTCCCGAGTCGCAGGGTATTAACAATGCCGGAAAACACATGGCTTCGGCCACGCTGAGCCCCATACCATATGGCAAGAATTGTTACGTAATTTCTAAGTCCACAGTTCAGACTCTCTGGGGCCAGAGAAGGTTCACATCCACCCTGACCCCAGCTACGCTGTGGCACAGGCTTTTGTATCTGGTGTGAAGATTTATAGAAAACCAGGAAGGAAATGAAAACCGAGGTTACTGGATGTCACCGTCATCTACCAACATGGAACAACATTTTAGGAATTTTTTTTTATATACATGTAATTGATTCGTTGTCCAGAATGTGGTGATTGCAATCTGCAGTGATGGAAACATTTACGAAAAGCACTTGGGGTTTATTAGCACTGACTCTCACATGGTAACTTTATCACCTCTGACTYGGACCTCGCCACGTGCGCAGGCACACGCGAGGATGCGGGCTCATGGGGCGATGCCACGCTTGGGGCCCAGCGCTGCCGGCTGCTCAGGATCTTCTCAGTCCAAGCACGAGCATTTCTGCTTCAGACGCAGGCTTATCTGCCAGACTCGCTCAGAACTACCTAGTCAAAGGGCAATACAGGGAAGAGGTAATACATTTAAATGAAAATGCCCCAAAGCATGATTCAGTGCGAGGCGGAGCGCCTAACAAAAAAGGCTTTGATTTTCTTCTGAGAAGTCCGCTGGCGCAGCTGGACAGTCTGCATAAAATGTCCCCCCTCCACCCCGTGCCTTTTTTTGGTACTGGGATTGAACTCAGGAGTACGTTACCACCSAGCTACATCCCCAGCCCTTTATTTATTTATTTATTTTTTATTTTGCAACAGAGTCTTTCTAAGTTGCTGAGGTAGGCCTTGAATTTGTGATCCTCCYGAGTCACTGGGATGACAGGCATGTGCCACTGGGCCCATTTCTAATGTGTTTCTTTCTTTCTTTCTTTTCTTTTTTTTTAAATCAGAGAGCTGGAAGGGATCTAAGATCATACCAGACCAGTATCTTCTCTGGTCACAGATGAAGAAAGAGACCCACAAAGGTTATCTTGCCCAAAGTCTAGCAGCTTGTGATAAAACCAGGTCTCATTAAATCCCAGTATAATGCCCTTTCTTTCCAAAGTACAGATGCGACTACTACCCTGGTTACTGTCACAACGAGATGACAATGATGCACATCAAGGGAGGGTGACCGTGCGCTGGAGACTGCCTTATCACCTCCAGTTCCTGCGTGGGGAAGCAGAGGTCAGCGAGAGGCAGTGCCTCACACTGACAGAGGGCGTGGGGCCGGGACTGACCCAGACAGTCTGGTGTAAAAGCCCATTTCCTTGGCGGCTCCACGCAGTCGGGGATTGTGTGCTTCTGCATGGAGAAGACCGGAGGAGAGGCTCTTGCTCTAGCTTTTAACYAACAGCGGAGCAYGATCGGGAACACGGCATTTTMACACACCACGTGAACGTGGAGAGCYCTSGCCTCCCCTGGCCTCCCCTGGCCCTCCCAGTCCACTCGCTCATCCTCTCCCTCCCCAGTTCTGAGAGCGGCTTTGAGAGGCCGGGTTGGGTATCAATGATGCCATTATCCAGGGAGCCTGACAAAGAGGTTGGTTTCAGGAAATGTGGGCTCCCCCTTCCGTTTCCTCCGTTTCCCACCAGAGAATGGAAGCTTCTATCTTAATGTGTCTATTCACTGCTAAAAACTGAATTCTTTTTAAATGAAGAAAAAAGGAAAATCGAATTAGTATGAAAACCCAGCAACTAACCTACTATTAATGCATTTACTAGACGGATTATTTATGGCGGATGAAAACTTGAGAGACACGCAACCAAGAATCTCACGTTTTTGGTAAATATACAAAGGGTCTCTCTCTCTCTCTCTCTATGAGCCAAGAGACCCTCGTTCAGGTTTAACTGAAACATAATCTTGATGTGATCCTATAGTTAAAAATKTAGTAAGATGTAGCCTATCAGCCCATTAGAAATCACTTCTGTCTTTTGACGTATTCCCAAACATGCTATTTGTAATGAGGCGCTACAGAAATCTCTTAAGTCCCACCATTGAATTTTATCAGCTGTACTTAATAAAGTTACATCTAGTTTGAAAAAAAAAGAAAAAGAAAAGGTTTGTCCTCTATGCTGGCACATGAATGACCCATTGCAGAAGGCTGAAGTGGCCTCTGTGGGCCACGGTGGAAGATGTGATTCCAGCAGGTGCAGAAAAGAAAGAGGACTATCTTCCCGAAGCATGATTCTWACCACATGGCTCCAACAGCCCTTGTTTTTTTACCTTATCAGTACCATCTTCTTAGTTTAGCTTCCAGGACTTCCTGTTATCTGGCCTCGATCAACACGTACAAATAGGTCTCCCACGGCATCCCCCCACATGCAGCTTCTGCTCAGCCCATTTTTGCATCTTCCCTTATGGAAAAGTGAGATGAAGTATCATTTATGGGTACCTCCACTAAGCAGCAAGCAAAGCCACCCATTTACCACGACCACAACCATATGACACAGGTGCAGTCATTTTCGTCTTACAGAAAAGAAATGGTAGCTCCAAGAAATTCATCGTCCAAGAGAATCAAAGCACAAGCCCTGAGATGCAAACCGGGTCTGACCTCCAAGTCGCCGAGCCTGCCTTGATCCCACGTCATTTCCTCACCTGGTGCCTTCTGTACCCGCCTTTGACTGAGCTTTATTTTTCACTTTTCCTTTTTAAAATGATAAGTAAAAATTGTACATATGTATGGTGCACAACACAATGTTTTGATAGATGCATGCCTTATTTTACCACGTGATCATTGAAGATTTTTATGCCCAATTTTTTGCAAAAAAAAAAAAAAAAAAAAAAAGTGGAGAGTAATCATTAGGTGAAGCTTTTCCAAAATAGAAATCATGTCAGTATTATTTAAAAATCAGCTATAACTAAACTGTCTTGGGTGCAACATTAGGACGCACGGACACTTGTGACTGAACATCATACGATGCCGATGATTATGCAGAGAAGCAGAGTACAGGGTGGAAGGGCTAAATCAGGCTGACGTCACAGCCCCTCAGATACTCCTCAGTTTTCCTCCTCAGCTTGGCCTTTATGCTCAGTGTCAGTCYCCTCACGATGGTTTCCCTGTAAACTTCAGCCTGTCCATATTTAATCTCTCTTTGGACTTTCCATAGTACTTAAAACCTATAAAATGAAATGTTGTTTGATAATGCACTGCTATTGCTTCCACGTATATTTTTAGACTTCTCCAGGGCTCCCTGGGCTCCATGCACAGCAGGGGTTTCATGAATCCTTCAGGGATTATTCTGAGGTGTTCTGGTTTCCTGGTGGTATGAGGGGAACTGACGTGAGAGGCCAGGCTGAGGCACAGACTGGCGGTGGGAGGTCACAAACSAGAGCGTGGGAGGGCAGGCTGGGCCTATCTGACCAAGGAGTGCAGTCCAAGGAGTACAGATCCCCAGGTGATGAGCGTCCCTGGAAAGTATGTGGGGACTGCACAGGAGAAGCTCCAGCCGAGGCAGAGGTATCTGGCTGCATTGTGGACAACCGCAACTGGACAGGGAGAGACACTGGGCTTTGAGTGGCTAGAGCACTTGTCCCCATTCGTCTCTGCAACTGTAGGAGATATTTTATTTGTGTCGATTTAAATCTAAAAGCACGCATCCAGAACAAAAATACACATAGTGCTACCAGTCAAGACAAACGACTCCACACTCTGTAGAATTCATGATCTAAAATCCCAAAAGGATGATTTAAAAAAAAAAAAAAAAGAAAGACAATTACAACCAACATTAAGCACTAGTTACCCGTTTTAATAAAATACTTTGCTGAAGTTGCAGGAATGATGTTTTGGACAGGCTGATTTTACCTAATGTGAGCAATAGAAGGAATCTTCCTGGTTCGTGATGATTAAGATTGGAAAAGATTATACGTCAAATAATTTTTTAACAAGTTTGCTTTAGGTAGAAAGGAAAATATGTGAGATAATTATAGTCACCTTGATTTAGGTGTTCACTACATATATATATATTTTTGATCTATATATATATCAAATATATATATATATATATATCAAAACATCATGCTGTTTGTGATAAATATATGCAAACTCTGTCAATTAAAAGTTACTTAAAAATATTTAGGGACACAATTAGAAGGAAAGGAACCAATGACTTTCTTCACCAAAACAAATGCTTCCCTCCCTAATTAAAGCAAACGTGACGGATGCCTAGCAGGGCCAAGATTCACCAGGGTCACCAGTTGTGTAACACAGCAGCAGGCAGGAGTGCCACGTGGAATGGGGTGAACACGTCAATGGCTGTGAAAGTGGGGTTGGGGCAGCCTTTCCCTGAGGAGCATGGAATTCTGTCCCTGTGACCAGGGACTGCATTGCTTGGGACCCCAGTGGGTCTAGGAAACCRGCAGCCCCTGTGCTTTGCCCACACACGTAGAGAGAGCAGGAGCTGCTGAAAGCCAGCGTCGGGGAAACCCACCGTGGAGGACCCAGTGTGGCTCCCTGTTATCCCCAGTGCTGAAGACAGTGCTGCCCCTTTACAGGTGACGAACTGGACGTCCACCTCCAAGGCTGCTAGGCAAGTGCGGGGCAAAGCCAGGGCTTGAAAACAGATCTACTGCCTTCTAAGCCCAAGTGCTGGAATTCGAAAGATGGGTGTGAATCATGTGGGGGAACAAAATTCCAGACATCATTAGAGAAAACAGAGAGGAGGGAAGAAAGGCCAGAGGACCAGGGGCAAGGGCCAACTTACCGGCATATTTTGAGGTGTTAGACTCATCCATGGACCAAAAGCAATAATCAAAGGCAAATACCTGAATGGGAGAAAAAAACATCAAACTTGAAAATTAACTCTTTATGAGTGAATCTGGCTTCAAATAATAATAATGATGATGACAATAATAATGCACTATTGAAGATGAGCAGGTGCCCGCTGCATCTCCTGGACACTGCAGCGGGTGAAGTGCCGCTCAACATCCCTTCCCACAGGAGAGTAGCTGGTATGTGAATATAACTGCATGTCCAGAATCCAAAACCCAGACACCTTAGCCAGATTTAAATACACACACACACACACACACACACACACACACTAAAAAACACAAAAACCTCCAATAACTCTCTTCCAAATATAGTCCTAGTGTCTGCTAAAACCTTTGGCTGGATATTTCCAGGCTTCTCAAGTAAGACTATAATGATAAACGTTCATTTAAACCAATTGTTTCTCCATAGTGAAGCTGAAAACTCCCCACACCCCCCGTCCTGGATAATTCACCTTTGCATGTGTTAACTTTCCAAATAGCTACTGAGCGCCTACTATACACCAGGGCAACTGATGCTTCTCCCTCSAACCACCATTTCCATGCACAGTACCACCACCTGGGTTCCAGCATCATTATCAAATGCTCACAGCACTGTTGCCCAAAGTGTGTTCCAAGGAGTGGTCGTTTCATGGGATAGTCCATGGGAAAAAACATCAACTCAYCGGAAATGGTGCACATGTTACTCTGTTGGAGATTCTCAATGCAGTTCTTAACATTAACAGCTCTGAAAAGTTCTCCAGTAAAGAAACTCATTTGATGGTTGGGCTGTTTTGATTTCCCTGATTTGGTGAAGGTACGCTTTTTGGGGAATACCTATTACATGCCTTGAAACTAGTGTTTCTCAGTACGGCCCTTATGGGGGCAGGAGCCATATCTAACTCATCTTTGAAATCTGCACTGTTCATAGTAGTTGCTTTAGAATTAYTACTTGTCTAATGATCAATGGCACCAAAACTTTGCAAGGAAGCAAAGTGTTTTACGTCACAAAAGACTGAGTTACACTCCCACAATTTCACCACTCCACCTACTTTATTTTAATGCTTTTACAACTGACTTGATTATAAAACTGCATCCCATTTACATCATGAACCCCAGATTCAAATTCAGTTTGGATACGTACACAAACATTCACTCTGGCCTTATGATAGCCAAGTTCAAATGAACAGTCTGAAACAACCGTTTGGCCAATGGACTGCGGAACATTGACTACATTCCTGACTTCTCTACCACCCAGGCATAGTCCAACTAAACTTCCTGGCCCTGAGCAGGACTGAGCTTCAACCCTTCTCCCAGGGGATGCAACATTGTGATAACACATTTTTTCTTTTTAAACATCTATCCTTTAGTTGTAGGTGGACACAACACCTTTACCTAGTTTTTATGTGGTGCCTAGSATGGAACCCAGTGCCTCACRCAAGCTAGGCGAGAGCTTTTGCTCTGAGCCCCAGCCCCAGCAGCCCCACCACCACCCTAGAACACTTTCTGTAAAGGGCTTCCCACCTCCCCAACTAGCAAAAGAGCCAGAGCTACAGCTGTTCTCCAGTCCTCCTTACAACCCGAGAGCCACTGTTGTCCTTGTTTTCAACAAAATTCCACCCACCATCCCAGAACCCCGCTGCTGCCTCCACTCAGGTGAAGGCTCTGGCCAGTGTTTAATTCCCGGGAGCTTGCCACACACCTGCTGCACCTCCGTCTGCCTCTTAACCACGTGAGCTTTGCATCTCTGTGAACCRCTGAACATCTAGTAAAGTTACCAAAACGGCATTTAATAAGACACGTGTTGAGTGACACTCTGTGGCAATGGAGCCCCAGCACTCGCAAGCAGGATGCACCTGGGTGAAATTCCATTCTTTTCAGCAAAATTCAATTTACAGTTTAAATAGATGGAAGCAGTATCTTCTATGTTTCCTGGAGGAGTAGCAGGCACGAACATTCTAAGGAACATCACCTATAACTGTTTTTCTGGTCCCTAAAAAACAAAAGTGAAGGCACTTCCAATGGTGTCACCTCTGTGCCCTTCCAAGAATCCCTTCCCAGCTCTGTGCTTTCCTGTGTTCTCCACCTGCAAAATGCTTCTTCTAGAAAGCAATCTGCAAATACCTGCTTGCCACCTCTTTTTTTTTTTTTTTTTTTTTTTGCTAGAGGGAACTCAGAGATGTTCCTAGGTATGTGTCGTGTCCTCTAGTTGCTGACGATCTATCGAGGAAGACAAAACAGCAAAGCATTATTCCTGAAGATGCACATGTTGTTTCTAAAGCCACGTCAATACCTCCCGTCTCCTTCCCAGGCACAGTGTGGTTAAGCTAATACTCAGGTCCACATAGCTTCATCTGATGTGAAGAAACACTTTGAATAGACACATCAGATTTCTGCAGTGAGTCAAAGCCCACCCTATGTCAACTGCTTTCTTCATTAAACTCTTCCAATGTCCTCTCAAATGTCACTCCCTTATGAAAGCTTCACTTAAGGATACTGCTTCTGATGACTCTGGATCCCACACCTGCCTGACAAGATTTCATGTGTGTGTGAACGTGTGTGTGTACGCACACATCTGCGTAAGATTCCCTTTGTTCTATGTTATTAGTTCTTAGAGGACTACGTCTTGGTTTTCCCTAATCTTTCACTATTATGCCAAACAAAAGTACTCTGAGAATTTACACCTTGGAGGAACTTGCTGATGAATTACCTCTGAATTAATCCTGAATTAAAACTGCATTTTCACATATAATCACTGCTTCAAATCACAGCACAGAGCAGTGAGTGCAAATCCTCAGGAGTCTGGCCAGACTTGAAGAGGTCAAGACTGGTGTCCCCTGGAGTCAGTGTCTGTGTTCACTGGGTCTCAGTGCTTTCCCGAAAACACGGGCACAAGCCACCCATTCATCTGTATATGTGTCTCTSGTCGGCCACCCCCACAGGTCGCTGGGCCCCACCACTGACCACGAACTCCTCCAGGTATACTGAGCGCCGTGAGACGCTGAAGGAGAAAATGAGAAACTGGAGAACTGTGCAAYCCCTTTCTTCTACCCGTCACCTCCCTGGCCAGCGAGGCGTACCTCACTCTTGTACCTTGTTCCTAGAGGTCAAAGTCTTGGTTTTCCAAACGCCACCTCCTCCAACACTCTTTGACTTCCGCTGTCAGGTAATTCTCCCCTTCTCTGTGCTACCTTGGCCAACAGCTGCACCACCCAATACACACTTACCGACCCAGATAAGTGCACGCAGCACATGAGGAGGGGATTGCGGGAACTTAAGCAAAACGCCTAATACAATCCTCCGCAYGGAGCTCAGCTCGGGGGGCACCTGCACCCCGACCCACACTAACATCAACCTCCGGGCGTTCCTTAGGCACCACCCGTCTGAGGGCTTTGCCCGCTCACCCAGCTAGCTGGGAGGTTTCCTGAGCCAGAGACTGTGCAGGACACAGGAGGTAGGTGCTCTGTATTTACTGGATTAAATACACAGAGAAAAGTGAACTGGCAAAGAAAAAAGAAGAGTTGTTACAGACTGTTTAGTTCTGCATCAAAATATCCATGCAACACACGCACTTCCCGGCTCCCGAATCCAAAATCCAAGGGGCTTCCCCCAGGGGCTTCCCTGGGGGATGCGTCTGCCCTGAGGACTCGCCCTGCTCTGTGTCTCTCTCCTCTACGCTGTCTCCATCCTCTTTGAACAAGGGGCCCACTGTCCCCATCTGCGGACCCAGCTGCTGCTTGCTGCTCGCTCTCCCACTCTTGGAAAGCTCTGCGGAGATCTTCCAGCAAATCCCCCTTTCTCCAGTTGTAGGGATACTGGTTCGTCAATGTCCTGTTTTGTGGTTACTTCTCCACTGCCGATTTGCAAGACTACACTTACAAGACAATGAACGCACTATGTTTCATTTCCTGTTGAAATTTCCCTTCTCATGCCATGCTTCAGTCCTCCGCTCATTTTCATCTCTTTCCCCTAACATCYGAGACGTGAAGAGTCATTTAACAATGAAGAGCTGCACTTCACTCACCATGGAAAAGCTGGACTGAAATCACACAGGAAGCCCCGCACCAAAAGCCTGCCCATCGCGGGACTGTCTGACCCGCGGCTGTTGGCAAATGTCACTCAGCCAGCACAGACTCTGGCCTGTGGGAACGTGTCTGCCAAGGGCCACAGAGAAGGAGWGCCGGGGCCATCACCCTTGCTGCTAGTTAGCTCTATTGACAGACCTACCTTCCTGTTGACAGATCTGTCAAGTAACTGCTGTCTTTCTGTGATGTCATTAATCATTTCCTTTCTCTATGTCTCTGTCTACATACCAAACAATGAACTGGGTTACACAGTCGACACTGCCCRGCTGCGAAGGTGTCGATGCATCTCAGAGATTCACAGCAAGCTGGCGTCATCCTGAACTCGGTGAATTCACAACAGCTTCAGCAGGCAACGATGCTGTGAAATTACTGCACCGGAATGTGGTTCAAAGTCCTCAAAGTGCAGAGAAAATTCCCTTCAAAGAACGCYTCCATGCTTGTATTCATTTATAAATTTGAAAACAGGAAAGAGTTCTCTCAGAGTCTAGACCAACATTATAAAAACAGAGCTTCCACTTAACACTACGCACATGTAAACTCATGGTGCTTCAGCAACGGAGCACTGACTCAGTTTTGACTCTTTCAAATACCGTACGCCTTTCATGTTTAATCCTTCATGGAGCATTTGCATTATCTGTCTCTCTGGTAGCTGAGGGCTGTCACAAATGCACAATCTGTGGTTATTTCTCATTCTTCCATGCTCTGATTACTTCTCCAAAATCTAGCCCCTCAAAGAACTTCTCCACCAGCACATTCCAAAGGTAATGTGAATATCTTCAAACACAGAATATCCCTTCTTCAACAAACAGCCGACAAGGTAAGCGGCAAGTGTCTAAGCAAGTACTATATTATCCTACCCACCGTCGCTGACAAACGGCTACTGAGGCTCATGACAAAAGAAAAAAGAAAACTCAGGCACCCAGCCATCAC